GTGAATTTTTCTCATAGAAATGTACATATTTAGTCAGTTTACATTAATTTATAAATAAAACAATAAATTGAATACTTGATTTCCGCCAGATACCTGACTGACATTGATTTACATTAGGAAGTCTGTGGTAGCGTTTCTAGAATATACGGACGATTTAAAAATCGGGTTCATTATTCTGTTTTCTTTTGTGATAAATACGCTCTACTTATAACAAATTTGTTAACTTCTAATTAATAAATTCATTCACAGAATATAAGTAACACGATGTATCCCAATCCAGATATGTATGTTTCATAGCAATTGTCTTCCTTTACTGTTGCTTGTTATCTCTGAAAATCATGATTCACAAAAGGATTCTACGGAAATTAATTTTTAAAAATATGAAGTTTATTAAAAGAAAACGGAGGGATAATGCTGCATGGCAGTGTGTTAACATTATAAAATTGACAAGGACAGTGATACACATGTACAAACGAAGCATCGAAATTACTTTTCTATGTAGCTCAACTTGCCAAGTTGAGAGTAGTGTATTTGGTCACATTTTTTCTACTCAGTTTACAGTCATAATAATATTTTTCTTCCCTAATTTTGGGCAACTAAGTTTTGCATTCGGACAAGTCCAAGTCTGAGATCACTTGCCCGAAGGACAAGTGAATCTAAAAGTTAATGTCTATCCCTGATACCTTCATTCTTTTATTGTTATCAGGAAAGATCGAATTAAGAAAGTTACGTAGGGGAACTACCAGATTTACTCTTCTAGGAATAGATTTTGATGTAGAATTGGATAAGGTACAACAATTAAATTATGAACCAAAATTAGTACATATTAAATCAATACTTAAACAATGGGAGAAAAGGTATTTAACTCCCATAGGGAAAATTACAGTCATTAAAACATTAGTTTTACCTTTATTAAATCATATTTTAATGTCAATCCCAAATCCTTCTGAACTGTATTGTAAGGAATTGGAAAAAATCTTTTTCTCATTTATATGGAATAACTCAATGCATAGAGTAAAAAAAGAAGTAACTGTAAAAAAAATATGAAGATGGAGGTTTGAAAATGTTAAATCTGATGTCTTTTATAGCTTCCATGAAATTATTTTGGATAAGGCATCTCATCTTTACAAATAAGGGGATTGAACACCTCATTCCAAAATTCAATTTGAACAAATTTTTAAGTTGTGGAATTGAATACACTACAACCTTCTTAAAAACATTGAAGAATAAATTTTGGACAGATGTTTTTAAGTCATGGATAATGTTACAAAACCTTGAAAAAAAGTTTGATGTTGCTGGTGACTCACCATTATTTTACAATCCACATTTACATATTGGTGGAAAACCATTTTATAATAAACAAATGTTTGACAGTAACATTAGACAACTTAATGATATCATAAATGAGGATGGTTCACTCTTTACTTATGAGTGTTTCTGTAACACCTATCCAAATATAAAGATTAATTTTTTAGAATACAATAGTATTATTCATGCTATAAAGGCTTGGATGAAGAATTCTGGTAAGGAAAAAACAATAAAAAAGCTCACTAACCCATTAATTATGTCAAATATCTACACAGTAATGAAATGTAAAAAATCTAAATGCTATTATGAAATCCTTAATCAAAATTCTTCTGTTGCAGCAGGTAAAACACATTGGAGTGAGCTTCTAGAAATTGAAATTAAGGAATGGAAAAAAATTCACATAATACCCTTCAGAGTAACAAAAGACTGTAAACTCCAATGGTTCCAATATAGGATTATAAACAAAATTTTAGCAACAAATTCATTCTTATTCAAAATTAAGAAAAATGACTAAGTTCTGCAGTTTTTGCCACACCGAGGAGGAAACAATAGAACACCTTTTGTGGGAATGCAATAGTACACAAATTTTTCTAGAAGAATTTGTTCATTTACTTGAAGATAAGACTGGTCTAAAGATTAGAGTTACTAAGAAATCTTTTATTTTAGGGTTTATTGATGAAAACACTGATGTTCAAAATGCTATTCTTCTTTGGCTTAAATATTATATTCATACTGCAAGATGCACCCAGAAACCTATTAATGTACATACTGCAATATCACAAATGAAGTTTCATTATGAAACACAAAAATTTATTTCTTATAAGAATGGTGGAAAGGAAAAGTTTGATACCCAGTGGAACAGGTGGAACCTACTATTCTCTTAACTCTCTCTCTCTCTCTCATAAAATAAAAATGCACTTCTGCTTCTGAAACTTGATGTATGTGTATAATGTTATGTACGTTGTGTGAATAAAAAAAAAAAAGAAAAAAAAAAAAAAAAAAAAAAAAAAAGAAAGTTACGTAGGATAAAATCCTTCTTTTTTATGTAAAAAATTGTAGCTTTTCTAATTTTAATTTTTGATAACTCCATCCAATATTTATTTTTTTTTTTCTTTTATCACGTTTATAAGTCTATTTTTACCTATACTTGTATCTCCATAGCCTCCTGTCAACACACATCCTTTATCACTGCAACTGCATTTATTTTCTTTCTGTCCACTCTTCAATTTGTTTCTTTCATTGATTGTGTACCATGATGATATAGCCAACTTTCCAAATAGATGATTAGCCAACACAGCTGTCATGTCTGCGTTATTTTCAAAGTCCAAGTCCACCATTTCACCTGTAAAAGCAGTGATGAAATTCAAAAACTAGACATGTTTTTATCATGCACTGTAAAAATTGCGTTTAGGAAATAAACACTTCTATTACATGTTTAGATCTAAACGTGTATAGTATTGTGTTTAACAACTAAACACTTATGTCTTAACATGTTTTATATCTAAACGCGTTTAGAAATTAAACACGTTTTACTGTAAAGTGCAGAGTTATCTTCCCAGAAATGACATGCATACAATGTATATTTGAACGTTAATTTGAGCGGCTATCTAAATAAAGAAAACACAACAAGCTAAGGTGATGTATCAGTGAGAGTTATGACAACCCCATTCAAGGGATAACCATGACGAAATAGTGAATTAAATACGGTGAAAGGGCATCTTGTTGCTGCAATACATTAAAGGTTTGTTTTCTTCTTCTTTGCATTAATTAACCACGATGAGCAACGTACATAAAGTTGATTTGGGATATCTTGAATTCGTTCATAGACTTGCAGGAGAGGGAATATTATTAAATGTCATTAAAAACATCAATATTTATATCAGTGTAGGTTCACTAAAATTTAAACAATTTTGTTTTTCCAAGTAATGTAAAATATCAGTGTTACTATACTTTTTCTAAAATCTGGCTTTCTTTCCTACAGGCAATGTAGTCCAGATCGAACTCAAAATATACGTATCAGAGTACCTGGTGTCATCTTCAAGTGCAATTTTGTTGTTCCATAATCAACACTTTGAAATTTCATTTGTTGAAGACTACTGTGTTAATTCGACAGTGTTTACAATTATCCTCGTTCATTCGAAATGGATTACTTTCTGGCAGTTATTGATGGAATATAGATTATAATATGTGGTGCTTTGGGACTTGTTGAAAATTATTAAAATTTGATATTTTTGCGATTCACATGAGGAAAACTTTGCAGCCAATTCAAATTATAATGATTATAATAAATATATACATAAATATACATTTTGTATTTTTAATTCAACAATTCTTTAATAAAGCCATTTAGAAATATTCAATGAAGTTTTTATATTAAATTGTCATCTTAATATTACTTTCTTAATTATTTTGAAGATTAAAAGTTTGTTATCTATGTGTACGTTATAAATTTTGTGTCATTCTGATTGAATTGTTGAGACTAAATCTCTTCAGTTCTATCTCCTACATTATTTGTGTAAATTAAGTACATGTACATCACACAGTGTCCATTGTATTGTATAATTAAATACATATCCCAACGTTCAGTGGCTTTATGGAAAATAATCAATAGTGGTTACATATTTTGAAAATTTTGACAATTATGCGCATTTAAAAATCATATACTTTTTGTGCCTAAATTTACGAGAGTGTTTTGTTTTTCTGCAGGTCCAATTTAAACTTATTATGTGTTTAGATTTTAAAAACATCTGCTGTTATGTGTTTAAAATATAAACACTTGTGTTTATGTGTTTAGATGTGTTTAATTTCTAAGCACACAAGTGTTTAAATTCTAAACATTAAACACTTTCTAAGACATGTTTAGGAATTTTACATGTTTAGAAATTAAACATATAATAAAGGAGGTGACAAGAAAGTGTTTAGAAAAGTGTTTGAATTGTAAACACATTTTTTACAGTGTGTTCAATTCCAAATTCAGTCTTACAAAAGATTCTGGAACATTCTACATGTATCTTCATGACCTGATCTCTGTTTAAAGGTGTTTATTTGTTAGTAAACACTTATTCTAAGACTGAGAAATCTGGATATCTATTGTTTTATTTAATGCTTGATGCTCTTTTAAAAAAATGCATAATACAATCATTCACTTTTCATTTTATTTTTGGACATTTTTTTTATTTAATGTCTGAACATGCTTAAGTGTCAAAGGCGACTAATACAATGGCATTAAGGGAATGATTTCCTCTTTTCAAATTTTCTCATCATAAGCATGATCAGTTGTCACCGATGATGTCTAGGAATCAAAATACATGTGCATGGATACCAACTTCTACATACCTGACTTCAAAAATCTTACAAGTACTTCAAGTAGAATCCTTTCGTGCTTTGCTTCTGGTATTTTTCCATAAAGAAAGTCAATAAGTATTGTTATCCCTCTTCTAAATATATCTCCCAAGACGAAACCTTTCTCCAGTTGTTCTACATCACAGAAAGCCTTACGGAATGGTATCCCTCCATTAGAAGTAACTGCATTGCAGGAGACAAATTTGTATGGTAACAGGACGGGTTTACATCAACAAAGACTAAACAACACTGCCGATATTTCATCCTTCAGTAAAAAATCGCCTTTGAACAAGAGAGGGGAGTCTGTCAGCTCTCTACTTTTGGTTGTTGAAGTAGCTAATCCACCTAAAATTAGAAAATAAGAAATAAGTTTTAAAAATAACACCAAAAGGTCTTGACCTACAATACATGGTTAAAAATAAAACACATTTCATTGGCTCCCTTCCTGTGAATATATAACTTGCTATGAATACTAATAGCAGGAGCAGGACTAAAGCACCAAAGGGCAATAACTGTAACTTACTCCAAATCAAAAAAAAGAAATATAATGAAAGATAACTCTTACTGTCTGTATTTATAGTCTTTTTCAAAATGTTGAGTAACAGTGATCCAGTTTGGTGGTGTCTAAAATAAAATAAATAAGAGATGATTAATTATATCACCTTTTACATTCAAAAAGGGAAAAAATTTTCCTGAAATGAAGAAATATGGTAAATGAAAGGTGTTAAATGAGATGTAAATGCTATAAAAAATTACCTTTTATAAATAGGTTTCCTTCTTGTATGTCAATATTAATCTCCCTCTCTGTTAACTCAAACTCACTGCCATTCTTCCTTTCTTTATCATCCCAGTACACAACCTAAAATATAATTTGAACAATTATAATCCCATTCTTATCAGCTCTTTTGTTTATTAAACAAGTACACAATCTAAAATATCATTTATAAAACTATATTCCTGTTCTTATTAGCCATAAATAAGTGATGAAATATTTGAAATTAACTTGTATGGCTGATACAATTATAAATTTTATAACTGAAATACATGTATATATAAACATAAATTTCAATTGAACATTTAGGCAATACACCTTACACCAAAAACATTAATATAAACAATTAACATTTAAAAACATGCACAAGACATAAATATACTACCATTAAAAATTAGTGATGAATGCATCATGATGGAGAACCAAAAAGATGACTGATGTCTACTCAAATTGATGAATGAAATGATGAAATTATATATTTACTGGGATGATTTTTTTCTTAACAAAAAGTGTGTTACATTAAATAACACACTGGTCTGGATATGTGTTAAATTATTATTATACCTCATTATTAAATGTATAACATGATTGTTTTACCCAAAAAAGTGATAGGCTAATATACTTTGTATCTCACGCAACATCCACCAAAAACTCAAAATTTGCAAGGTACGTACAACATGCCACCATTTTGCATTTTTCTGTTTAATACATCGCTTTGACTTTCTGCACATATTTTAAAGAAAATGAAATCTTGTCACCTTTAACAACTTCCAATAACTTCCGTTATATCCATTTTCACACTCCAAATAAATTATTCTAGATACAAGCTGTTCTCTCCTTTAAAATTTTTAAGTTACTTCTTAAGTATGTTATTAATTATAATACCAAAAGTATACTTTAATAAATTATGTCATATGCCACTATTGTCAGGTACCGCTAATAGATTTTTTCTTAAAATCTGGATTTTCTTTGAAATAAAACTTTTCATTCTTAAGTCACCTAAATCACTCTATATTTCTATCTGTTTTCGTCCGTTGTCTTGCATCTAGTCTGTGAACATTTGAATATCTTCAACTTCTTCTCTAGAACAACAGAACCAATATCGACCAATTTTGGAATATAGCATGTATGGGTAAAGGGGAACAAAATTGTGAATTTCATGGTCCCTGTCCCCCAGGAGCCTGGGACCAAAACCATCAAAATTAATGCAATTTTAAAAAAAATCTTCTTCTTTACGTTTGGACAATAAGCAGTCAAACTTTCGGCACGATTGTATTAATTACTGAGCCCTTTATCAAAATTCATGGCCCCAGGGTCAGGGATTTTGTAGTAAGGGTGGAGCTGTAGGTACTCATCATATACTGAAAATGCATTATTTCTTTGAAAATCTTCTTCTCTGCCCTGGGTTGTATTTTACTCTTTCTTCTATGGATCCTTTACATTGTTGTATTGTTCTCAGGTGACAATTAAGGCCCTTGGGCCTCTTGTAAATTTATTTAGAGGATGTTTTATAAAATTTGTTATGATATTAAGTGCCATGCACAATTAATGCATTCTGTGAAACAGTGTAAAAATCTCATATTCAATTACTTTGTAAACTCCATTTTCAAAACTCCTTATCTGGCCCTCCCAATCTTGGTTTTCGCCACTCTCTATAGTCCAGGTATGCACAATTTCTTTACCTACTAAGTCATCTGGATGGAATCTGGTTTCTTGCGCATTTCTTCTCAATTCTATTAATTTTAAAAGATTATCCAGTAATTTGTTATGATCAAAGACCTTTCCTTTTGAAGAAAACTGCAGCAACTCCTTCTGGTTTTTTTCAATTTTAAAAACTTTTTTGTAAATGTTGATTTGTTTCTTTAATGTCTCTACTTTCTCCTTTTTTGTCTTCAGCTTCTCTATTTCTTCTCTAATCTTCCCTTCACTCTCCCAAAGCCCAACTTTTCTCATGTCCTCTATTGCTCTATCTAACTCAGTTGATTTTTTTTCCTTCTTCCTTCTAGCTTCTTTTTCTTTTTCTTCTAAAATCTTTGTTTGTTTTCTAAAAAGTTCTTCATTTTTCTCTCTGTCTTTTAGCATAAAAGTTCTATTTTCTGAACGAGCCTGATCTATTATCTCTTGTTGTTCACTTATATCCTTCTTCTTTAACCACTCTTCTGTTCTGTTATTACAATATAAAATGCTACTTTCGATGGAATTTAATGATGATGTGGAGGATGCTTTTAATTTAAAATCTAATTGTCCCATGAGTCTTTCCAGGCAAATGTTATTTGTATCACATGAATTACACTCTTTTAATTCATTCCCACTGATGTTAAAATATTTCCCTCCACTTAAAAATTCACTAAATAGTTTACTGGCTTTCCTTTTTAAAACATTACAAAGACGCTTTATAAAAACACATGTAAGATTGTCATTCAGTGAAGTTTTCAATAAAAATTCAAAAACCTCGTCATAAAAATATGGACCATAAAAAAGTGAAACTTCATTGTTCAAAGCTAAAATTGGATTTTCAATAAACAAATCTAAAACATATAAAAGTCTCTGAAATACAGAACCCATATCTAAAATGTTTCCAACTTCTGTTGCTTTTAAAAAATAAGGTCCTGTGATAATTTTGCATAAAATGCCAAGTGATCTTAAAAGAGTTAAAAATGTTTTGTTCTGCAAACATAATAAAATAAAATTCTGATTAAAAGTGTAAGAAGCTTTCAAAGAATAAAAATACTGTAATACAAGTTTGTGCATAAAAAAAGTACCTGCAGCATTATAAAACATAACATTAAAACGATTGCCTCTAAACTTTACAAAGGGAATGTCTGAAACACTATGATTTTTCATATAAACTTGTATATCATTGGGATCACCAGTCCCATCTTTAAAAAATAATTTCGATACAGATTTTAAAAGACACAAAGTAAAAGGCTCTTTCAATGAATGGGTATACCCAGGAAATCTTAAAGACAACTCCTGTTCAATATTAAAAATTTCTTCTATACATACATCTGAAAACTGCAGGAGGGGGTGAATAGAACATTTAAAAGAATGTACATTATGATCTATATCTTTACTTAAAATATCATTTACTTTTTGTTCAGTAGCACTTCTGTCGGTCATAAAACAAGAGACATTGTTTAAAATAGTATCACTGTCACCCTCTTTCTGTGATATATCTATTAAAATATCTTTTGTAATATCTACATTTGTCTCCCCCTTTCCATCACAGACCTCTCTTAAACCTGCAGACAGAACTTTGTCACCAGTATTAAACTGAACTCCATAATAATGCTTCCCTTTCTTCGTAGTTGCGTCTCTATGCATTGTGATATTTGCACTGTTCTTAAGTTCTTCATTTAAATGATTTCTCGAAACTACGCCCATTTCACTGGTTAAAATACCTGCCGTACTCTTTGATGGTAGATTTTCTACATTGATATTAAAAACATCTAAAACAGATTTAATAATTGGGGCAATATGTACTAAAGCTATATTCCTACTTCTAAAATTATAATATAAGTTTCTTAATTTAAAATTGTACGGTTTCCCTTTACCATTCTCTCTAAAATCAATATTTTTTTTTATATGTACAACATCATCATCATCATCACAATTACTTTCTTTTTCTGACATTAAAAAATCTATTTCTTTCTTCAAGTCTGCAATAACTGTTTTCATAGTATTGCACTGTACACTTTTATCTTTTTTTCAACATTTTCTTTTGTCTTCATTTTTTTAATAACATTTTCTAATTTTTTTATTTTTTCTTGGTTTTTTTTTAATTTTCTGTTTGTATTTCTAACATTAAAAGCTCTTATTTTGTCTTTAAGAGCCGTATTCTCTCTTCGTAGGTGTTCAATCACAATATTCTGCTCCGATATAATTTTGAGTTTCTCCTTCAAAAGTTCATCTTCCTTCATTTCTCTCAGTTCCTTTGATGAATCCTCTTTTCTAATTTCCTTACTCTCCTCTTCCTCTCCACTTCCATTACTTATCAATGAGTTTTTGGTTTGGGGTAATTGAAAGATATTGTTTAGGTATGAATTTATTTTGTCTTTGTTGCTGTATTTCTTGAGTTTATCTATTTCCTTCTTTATTCGATTTACTTTGTACAAGAGACTTACTCTGTTAACTTTTGTATATTCAATTTTCAATTCGTCACACACTTCATGGTGTAAGTATTTCATAAAATTTGCACGGTTTTTATGTTTTAAATATATTTCGTAAACACCTAAGTAAGTGAGAACCATGATTATGTGCAAAAAAGTGAGTGTTAACTGAATTTTTACCATGAATGCTGTGCAAAATGAAATGAAAAAAAAAAAAAATGAAGACAAGCACAAAACAAAGACAATAAACTAAATATACAAGATGAGGACAATAAACTAAACATAAAAGACAAAGACAGTGAACCAAAGAAAATAAAAACAAAAAATGAAATAAAAATATCACACATACATAAAAGCAAATTATGCTAAAAAAAATTGAGATATATTTACCTTTTATGGAAAAATTCAGTCACTGTGTCTCTCGTAATTTCTCAAGTCCTAGAATACGACAAAAAAAAAATTTAATATAAGTTTTTAATGAGAAAATCATTTTATCACTTGTAATACTGCTTTATACAGTGGACATTGCTCATACGATATCATTTTCATATCCACAGTTGTGACATCACAATGGTTTTTGCATGAATTTGATCAAGTCAAATATTAAGGATTTACATATATATAATACAGTATAACGCATAAAAAGCTATGTGTGAAACATGTGATAAAAACAAACTCCCAAGTTTTTTGGTTACATGTGATTTTTTTATCAAACTCATTGTGTGTTTTATCCCCGAGCCTTAAAAAAATCATACCCAACCACAAATCATGAAATATCCTATATGTCCAATTTGCCTTTTTACGTCTTTATATTAATATATGTTTTCCGAAGTCTATAAAGAAATGGACTATATAAAGGGCAGGTAATTTGATTCCCAGAAAATGCCTGTGTTGACCAATCTACCAACTTTCAAAATAATCGTGCAAAAATGTGCAATGTTACAGAAAACATTTTACATTTCAATAAAAATCAATAGCCTTTAAAAAATCATTATAAATGTCTAAATTCATGCTACTTCCTATAAATGCCAAGGAATCATAGAAAATACAAAAGCTACGACCTTTCTTGTGCACATATTTTTGTTGTTCTCAATTGATTTAAAAACAATTAACAGGTTTTAAGAGCTTTCTTGCAAACCAAAAACTATACCCCAACATAAAAACACCTTACGCACCACTGTCATCAACATCAAAGTCCGTCAAGTAATACTTACCTCGATTTATTTCTAGGATCCAAGACCCATCGACAAACGCATGCAGATATGGCTACCAGGTGCCTTCCGGTTGTTACTATTTTAAGATTAAAATGGCGTTAACTGGAATAGCTAGTTGAAGGACCGTGCTCAGCCATGATGTATTTTTTAGTAATCGGGTTCGGCATGTCAAGTTCTGGAGAATCAAAGTACCGAAAAGACTGCAAGGTTAGCAGGAAATAAGCCAGTAGAATACACAAAGTTTTTATGCTCCCGTAATCGAAGATTCGGGGTATATAGTTTTTACCTTGTCTGTCCGTCTGTTTGTCTGTCTGTCTGTCCGCAAAAAACTTTAACCTTGCCCATAAGTTTTGATTGGTTGGAGCTATGACTTTCATACTTCACATGTGTATTCCTTGTGACAAGAACTTTCTTTGGGTACCAACATATTTGACCTATTGATCTTGACCTTGGATTTTGACCCACTTTTGCAAAAAAATACCAACTTTAACCTTGGTCATAACTTTTGAACACTTGGTCCTATGGCTTTCATACTTCACTGTATATTCATTCTGATAACTTGAATGTCTTTCCTTGGATATAAATATTTTTTGACCCTGACCTTAGAGTTTGACCCACTTAAAAAAAAAACTTCACCCTTGGACATAACTTTTGAGCAGTTAGGACTAGGGCTTTCATTTTTCAGAGGTATATTCCTTGCAACAATAAGGCCTTTCTTTGGACACCAACAAATTGACTTGGAGTTTGACCTACATTTGAAATACTTTAACCTTAGATATAACTTTTGAACAGTTGGGGCTAGGGCTCTAATATTTCACATTAGTATTTCTTATGAAGGCCTTCTCCTGGGTACCTTTAATTTGACCTTTGACCATGACCTAAATTTAAAGCCTTAAACTTGGCCATAACTTTTGAGTGGTTGGTGCTTGGTGCTTTATATTTTACAGGTACTGTATATTCATTGAAACAAGTTCTTTCTTTGGATAACAACATTTTCATCTCTTGCCCTTGGAGTTCAATCTGATTAAAGGAGCTGCTTTTAATCAGATTGCCTTGGAGTTTGACTTGCATTTGAGAAAATTTAACTTCGACAAAAGCTGACATACGGGGGCATCAGTGTTTCACAAACACATTTTGTTTCTTCATGTTTTGAGATGGTTTATGATTTGTTTTATCCATCAGGTTGTGTTCCAATCAAATTAAAAATTGGCCCATCGTTTTATTTGTAATATAATGCTGTACATAACAAATAATAAAGCGAAGGATAAAGAATGAGTGCACTTTAGTTCATCATTTGGAACCTTTTCGGCTACCCATTTTAAGCTTTACATTACAATATATCGCTTAATTAATCTATGATTATTGTGCAAGCATATTCTTTTGATATTTATTCCTTGAATTTTTTGTCATACATATTTCTATAATTACAGACAATGTCATTGAAAAGAACATATACAAACCTTAAATTCCGGAAATTTGAACGGGACCACTTACGAATTTAAGGTATCCGCAAATAGGCGGAGATATTTAAATCGCATGGACGTGGAATGTAAACATTAGCACATATATGATTTTTTTTTCGCACCGCGAATTTAAATGGAGAGGAGAGAGATTGTGTAGTTTTATGGTGCACAAATAATAAATGATTCTAGTGTTTAGGGATGGGGAAGATGTCTCGCCCTGCAGACCATTATACAGAGGCGACATGAGCCTGTACATGTACTTACTAATCACACTGTCAATACCAGAATTCTTTCAAAACACCCGTAATGAAAAATACAAAGTAAAATAAGAGACATATAATCTTCAAACCGTATCAAAATTTGCGCAAAAATCTTCCATAGTTTGAAGTTGGAAGTACGATAGATACTGTCACAATAGAAACTTTCAATAACAAACACAATGAAATGCTCAATGAAAGCCTTAGCGTATCGAACAGTGGAATGTCACGTGAGTAAAGTGATTATAATATCAATCGTTGACACTCGGTGAACTGTTAATTTAGTGGCTAATTCGACCGTAGTTTGGAGACTTTTTAAAAAAAAAATAGATATGAGCCGTAATTTGTCCAACATTGTCCTTTGGATATGTTGAAGTTTAAATCAAAATACACATTCTGTGCAAATGAGACCAATGGACAAGTTGCGGCTCGATGTAAACAATGTCGTTGAAAACTGGTATGCATATGAATAACAATAGAAATGTGACAAAACTGTTAGACCCCCCTCTCAAAAGCTAGCACTACTGGCTTTCAAAACCCCTGTCCGTATGAAAATCCCCTGTCTTTCTCTGTAACCTACAGCATTTCCACAATTATCTACGGTATATCTACAGTATGGTACGGTACGTCTCCTCTGCATATACAGTAATTCTCAGTATGCCACTGTATGTATCCCCAGCATGCCACAGTTACCTACAGTAGGCCCCAGTACGCCTACGGTAGGCCCCAGTATGGCTACTGCTTCCTACAGTGACCTACGGTAT